AGAAGTGCATCCAGAGTGCTCCTTAGAGGCCAAGATGGCCAAACTTTGTCTCTCATACTTGGACATATTGTCAGGAGGGACCAGTTTCTAGAGAAGGAGGTGGAGGGTCAGAGAAAAAGAGGAAGACCCCAGCGAGATGAATTGGCAAAGTGCCAGCATCAATGGGCTCAAGCATGGCAACAATTGTGAAGTTGGCCCAGGATTGGGCAGTGTTTCGTTCTGTTGTGCATGAGGTCGCTATGAGTCAGTACTGACTCGATGGCTCCTAACAACAACAAACTCAGATATGAGGTAGAGTTCAGCTCTAGTCCTTTTATGAAACTCATGTAACCCACAAACTGTTATGCTTTCTCCAGTTCTCTGTCTTGTTTCATCAGTAGGCAGGGTAAGTAAGAGGGATTCTCCTATAGTTGTCATGTTCTGTGGCCCCGTCCCACTGCAGGATTTATCAGTGTACTTTGAAGATGTACATGGCTTAAAGCATTTATGTCAGTGGTGCTGGTCCCTATCAAGAATATTGGACAGAATGTGTGCAATCTAAAATCATTTGTTGGTGCAATTAGAGAACAAAGGAAAGCCATTCTGCAGCTGTCCAGACAGTCAAGCCAGCTGCCTTCAGGATACTAGGCTGAAAACAGCAATATATGAAAGTTTACTGCTTACATTGTCATCCTTCCTTTTAAGAAATATCATCCAGCATTCAGTATGAATAGTAATTTCCTTCCTCAACAATGGGGGTGATATCTATTCCTATCTTACTCTTTCCTGGTTTTATTATTTAACATTATTATATTCGTATCTGTAATTAAATAAGACTTAATGTGGTGCTGCTGATTGCATTTTCATATTGGCTTCTGATTGTATTGTCGTTTGTCTTATTTTGATCAAATCTAGACACTCATTTTTCTTTCTCTTTGCTCTTTTCTGTACTTAATCCATTTTTCATCTTCCTACACTGATAGGAAAAGATTGCTCAAATGAGGTGGGAACTGATGATGAAGACAAAAGAACACACCAAAAAGCTTCATCAAATGAATGATTTATGTATTGAAAAGCAGAAGCTTGATTCTCGATTGAATACACTACAGAACCAGCAGGTACGTTTCTGTTCTTCAGACCGTTTGTTAGAAATGAGGAAGCTCCATCAAGTTAAATGTTCATAAGAATGCCAAGTGCTGCCATTTCAACAAACTTTGATCTTGGACTACTTCCAAACTATCTGGGTCCCTGAGGACGCTGCATTGATAGCCACATTACAGTGGGACTGAGGGCCTAGCTTTATTGAATACCCCTTGAGTACCCTGAGCTCACCTGATGTGGTCATCTGTGGGTTTTGCTGTGGTCCTGGAGAGGTAAGGCATAGATAATGACACCAATATACTCCCTGAAGTTGGTGTCAAATCTCCATTTCTAAAATCTATTCAATTTCACTTCACCTCAGTTCAGATGAGCATCTGTAAAAATGGCATGGGGTGACATCTGACCTCCTCAGATGTTACAAAGCAGGAAGAAGAAAAATCAAATTCTGTATCAGCCCAGGGCTCCCTCCCTCTGCTGAGTTCAATAATTCATTGCAAAGGTCACACAGAACAGAACTCAGACCATACAGTTAAGGGGCTTATTAGGGGAGTAGTTGTTGTTGTTGTTATGTACCGTCGAGTCGGTTCCAACCCATAGCGACCCTGAACAGGGTTTCTGAGGCTATAAATCATTACAGGAGCAGAAAGCCTCATCTTTCTCCCTCAGAGCAGCTGGTAGGTTCGAACTGCTGACCTTGAGGTTCGCAGCCGGATTATGCTGCGTAACCACTACGCTACCAGGGGAGTAGTGTTGTTGTTAAGTGCCATCGAGTCAGTTCTGACCCGTAGCAACCCTGGATAGGGTTTCTGAGGAGCAGCTGGCGAGCTTAAACTGCCAACCTTGCAGTTCAAACGGCTTTGCAGTCTGGCACATTAACCCACAGAGTCACACCAGGATTTCAAGGGGGAGTAGTAGCAGGTTACCATTTAGGGTAAGAAATGACTCCGGATACAGTTTTTCAATAAGAACAGTCTCCTCTTGGATATGCTGGCAGGCCCACTTAGGAACCATTCCCCTTGGCTTCTACCCTGCTTAGACAAATGTTACAAAGCTCAGACTTTGCCAATAAATACTCAAAGGCACCATAGCACTCCACCAGTGAGCCTCAGCCTGAAGGTGCTCAGCTCTGGCTCTGTGGGTCGGCAAACCTAGCTACCCGAGTTAATTGCTCAGGAGATGTCAGCAAGCCTTCTGCCAGAAGGCACTCATCTTTCTGGCTCTGTGGTCCTGTGCACTCTGCTGCCACCATTTCTCTGCTTTTGCTTATCACTGTCTCTCTCTTGTCTTTGGTGTCACAATCTCCTGGATTAAGATGGTTTCGGCAGGGTTTTCAGTTCCAAGGGACACATTTTTTCTTGATGGTTGTGAGATTCTCTTCTCTGCCTCTGGGATGGTTCATTTTAAACCTCACAGGATGCCAAAAATGGACCAATCCCCTCATTAGGGTTCCATACCTTGTGTGTATGGTCCCACTACCATAAGGGTACCATGCAAATTATCCAGTCCCCTTGGATAGTCAATCACGTTTACATTGTCCGATCTAGCACTTGACCTCTAGGTTGGTTTGACCTGCAAGCAAGGTCAGCCATTCAAACTTAACCAGCTACTCCTCAGAAACCCTTTACTACGAGTTGCTATGAATCAGAACAACTGGATGGCACTTAACAACAACAACATCTAGTCTGTGGCACTACAAGATAAGTATTGGACTGCTAAACACAAGGTCAGTAGTTCAAACCCACCAGCCACTCCTCAGGTACCCTAACAGGTTCGCTATGTCTCAGAGCTGATTCTACAGCCTTTAGCAACCACAATCCAGTCATTTGGTGTGAGTTACAAAGACTTTAGCTAGAAGAGTCATATTAAATAATTCACTGCACCGCAACATCTTAAATTTTAGAATATTATGTTACCTCTGATGGACTCCTAGTGTAGTGCTGCAGGATAAGCATTGGATTGCTAACCACAAAGTCAGTAGTTCAAACTCACCAGCTGCTCCTTTGAAACCCTATACAAGGTTGCTATGAATCAGAACCAACTTGACAGCACTTAACACGTTACCTTATTAAATGCTTGTTACCCTTTATGGTTTTCAACTTCTTTTATATAATGTATGTAGTCAGTGATATTTATCTAATAAATGTACACCTGATTCAAGCCTTTCCTTCTAGGAAACTAACATATGGCATATTCTAAACAAAATGTCATATATTTACAGTTGTGTCTGCACACATGACTAGAATTGAGTTAGTCTATTAGTCATGAATTTGACTGCAAGTAACCAAAAGCCCCAAGAGAGTAATTTAAACAATAAGAATCATTTTTCTCAATAAGCAATCTGATGTCAGGGTCAGCGTCTCTGTTATTCTCTAATATTTCCTTCAAAGACCAAAGATGGCAGCCGCGGTTCTATGTTTCACATTCATTGGCCAATTTCTTCAGTCCTTTTCATTAGGAAAGCAAAAATTTTTATGCTTTCATCCACTTAGCTTACCTGAGAGAAAGCTAGTGGTAAGGAGAGGTGAGCAAGAGAGAAGGTGAGCTAAAGCAGAGGTGAGCAAGAGAGAAGAAGCAGAAGTATATTGGCTAGCCAGTAAGAATATATGCTGAAGTAACTGTTGAAAACAGAAACGTCATGGACTCTTAGACTCAGGGAACCTGGTTCTAATCTCACTTCCAGTGCTTAATAAACTAGTTATTTGGGTCAGTTAATGAATGTCTCTGAATCTCAGTTTATCTGTAAAGTAGGAATGAAAGAACCCTAGTTTACAAAGTTGTGGGGATTAAATGAGATAGCATTTGTAAAGCACCTGCCACAGAATAGGTTCTTGATTAAGTGTTAAGTTGTTTACTTTAACAGATCTAGTTATCCACTCCAATTTTATTAATTAACCACCTATATAACAGGGTAAGGAGCTTTGGTAGCATAGTGGTTACAAATTGG